AATCACTCTGAGTTACTTCAGCTGTCTGGGGTTGGGCGCATGCCTTCACCGTGCCCTGTCTCAAGTGAACTGAGAGAGCTTAAATCACCTCGTAGACGGGTGATACAGATGGGATGAGGGCCGGGGAAGGCAGGCTTGGGGTACAGCAGCAAGGCTCCGCAGCTGATGTGTGCATTCTGTATCTCGGCCGCCTTTGCCATTTTGGCCTTGAAAAGGCAAGACCACCAGAGTGGCCAAGGAGGTGAAAGCAGGCAGTTGCCACCTTACTTCAAGCCTGAATGGAGAAGAGAAACAGCTAGGCCAGAGCTTAACTCCCGTATCTGAGAACCTGATCAGCACGGGGAAATACGCCCACAGTGGAGAACTCTATGTGGGAGAAGCTGAAGCGGAGTTTGGCGGCAGAGGTACAGCCTCGATCTTTAACCTGTGGGGAGAGGGCAGGACTCCATACTGACTTCTCACACCCAGAGAATCCACAGCTACTCTGAGCCCCCAGCTCCATAGCAGGGTTTGTCACCCCCAGCAGAAGGTGGAGAGAGAAGCCAGGCCTTTTCCTTCCCACGGAGAACTGTGTTTTTAAGCCCAATCTCTTTTTTCCCCCAAACTAGGCAGAACCTCCCGGTAATGATGCAAGCTGATCTTACTAAGCCTCTCCTGTACGGGAAGGAGACACCAGTGAGTATTGTCTGCGCACCTCGGGAATTGGGTTGTGCTACCACGCATTACCGATGCGGGCTGGTGACAATGAGGCACGACGGCACACACAAGTGACACTTTGGTGTATCTTAACATGAACACGTCCTTGTTAGACCAACAAAACTCAGGCGTGTACATCGGTCCCAAGGGTCTCCTCTCTTTGAGGGAGGAGCACGCGGGCTACTCTGTCAGGAAGAGTTACGCGTGCTGCTATTTAGAGCAGGTGGGCGTCTGAACAAGACAACAATCGTTAAATGGGAGGATTTCAAAGGAGAAAATCCAGCTCAGACAAGTAAAGAAATGTCAAAGGCTGAATGAAGATGGCAAAGAGGAGCGGCTGAATTAAATGAAGGATGGAAAAGGGGTTTTATATTGAAACAAACTGGGGGGCAGGGTTGGAGGGGTAGAACTAAAATGGGTAGGAAGTCCAAAATGTTGAAGAATCATAATGAAAATAGTTTATGTAGAGTTAGGAGCGGTTAAATGCACAAACAATTTGACTGGCATTTCATCTTGCATAATTTCCTTGATTATTGGATCTGTGCACTTGAAAACAGTGTAACTGAAATAGCTCAAAGTAGCTTTAACGTACACATGGAAATGAAGCCAAGTATAAAACAATGTACTTTTTTTTTTTCCTAATTTGGCTCCTCTATCAGCCTCAGTTTCTGAGGTGAGCAGAGGAAGGGCTCTGCATTTGGATACCCTGCTTTTTCTTCATAGTTGCATGACTCTACATTTGCCTTAGAGAGCCAATTGCAGGGCAGAAATAAGCACAATCAGCTTTTCGTGCAGGAATTTCATCCTCGCAGAACTGAAGAATGTATGAAGAGCAGACGCTAATTTCTTGCTGATAAATGCTTCTGAAAAGTATGAGGAATGCTGGCTAACAATACCATCGCGCCTATGAATTAAGAGTTGTAGATGCAATTCATATGTTTCCAAGGCTGTTAGTGGAGGTGTGCTTCGGCTTCAAAAGGCGATCCTTGCAAAAGCCTCCATCAGCAGAAAGGTGCCTGTGGTGCTGAACGTGGCAGCTGACTCTAATCAGTACCTTACCTCTACACTGAAGGGGGAAAAAAAGGCTTTTCAATTTAAGTGCTTTCTGTTATTCACTCTAAAAGCACCCTACTAACTAAAATGATGTAACAATAACTGAATAGCCACTCTTTTCCAGTTAATTAATGCAAATCCTATAGGAATACTTCATTGTACCAGATGAGCACACCGCAAACTGGTAAAATAAATGTCACAGGAAGAAGAAAAAGATTCAGTCTAATAACGCTGTAACACCTGGTAACTCGCAAACCATCTCACTAAGTTTAAATATAAATGTATAGATGGACACACATCTCACTCCTCCTATTTTGTTGCCAAAAAAAAAAGTAACTACCAGTCTACTTTTTCTCAAGTCGCTCCTTAGCTGATGACACAAATATAAGAGGAATAAACATTTTCTAAGATTACATGTTATGATGCGACACTGTGATCAGAATGTTTCTCCAACTCAGTAGCTGCTGAACAGCGGGGGTTGCTCTCTGTTCCCGCCAGTGTGGGCTAGTACCACATTTATTTAGTTATTTGTAGAGCATATGTTTATATAGGTTAATTTTCCTGGGGTTTTTTTCTCTTCACTTGTGGTGGAGTCAGATCCAATAAGAGACTTTAAGGTGAAACTGATGTTTCGCTGCAAGACCACTGAACTCTAGAAAGAAAAGACTTCCAAAAGATTCTTAAGTGTCAACAGGGAAAGGCTACGGAGGAAGGGGATGTTAACAACTTTCCTGGCTTCCTGGCTCAGAAAAGGCATTAATTGCCATTATATGCATTATGGAATGAAAGGTGTTCTTGTGCCCTTTGGCAGGATAACTGTTCAAGGTAAGAAAGAATTTCTTGTTAACGGTAACTGAGGTTACTGGTATTTGGGGGTGGGAGGGTATGAAATTCTTTTTCCTCCACCTTTTGGTGCAGAGTGTGTGTGTGTTTAATACTACTCTCTGGGGGGGGAGCCAATACAATTGGAGAGACGTGTCCTTGCCCTGTAGCGCTCAATCTGAGTATAACAGGGGATGGCAGAAAGAGGTTAGAGGGAAAGGGGATGATTACAGAAGCAAAGGGTTTTGAAATGCCTTTTGTTAAATGGACATTTTGGTGCACGTCTGAGGAGAGGTTTGTGAAAGAGATGTCATTTGGGCTGAAGAAAGCATGTGCATTAAGGGGAAAAAAGGGTAAACCAGTTTATAATCCACTTAATAATTTAAAAGTCATAAGGAAAACATTTAAAGGCTTCTCAGAATCTTTTTATCATTACACTGTTAAAACATGCAGGAGCCTAGTGTGTGGTTTTTATTTTAGGGCACCAGTGCTTGCCAATGGCAATTTATTGCACTTTTCTAGGAAAAAAAACCATGCTTCCTTCAACCATCAAGCTCTGACATGTCAATTGTGATCTTTGTGAACACAAAACCCCCTTGGTTTTATTTTTTGTGACAAGCACACTGCCCTATTTACATTCTAGCATGAACAAACAAGAAACCATTCCTTGAAATAGGGGTACTCAGAAAGAATCTTCCTCTCATTTGAGTAGGAGGGAATTTGATGAGATATCCCCTCTGGGTCTGCAGTGACTGCTGAGGAGGTGAGTAATTTCAGCTTGTGTATAGTGCCGCATGGTACAGAAGCACAAGCTAAGTGGGTGAGGCTGCAGACACCAGAAGGTGAAAACTTAGGGGCAAACCCTCATCATGGTACTGTCCCCAAAAGGCAACGCTTTAAGGTCCATCATTCAGAGGTCAGCTCTTCCTGATCCAAAATACAGCCCGTTTCCTTAAGTTCTGTTTGTTCTAAGCTGCAGTAAGTATGGATTTTTCTCTTTGAAGCTCAGTTTGCTGAAAAGCTCTAGGATTATTTCAGTTAGTTGTTCAATCGACTTCTGCAACAGTTACAGTAGCATTCTTGCGCTGCACTCAAAGCAAGGGCTTGAAGATTCCTAGTTAGACTGGTTTTTGAAGATGAGGTGAATGTGGATGTGGCAGCAGGTATCCTGCAAGCTGTAAAACATACCAGAGACTCTGATAAAGAGAGGTTAAGACTAGGGGCTAAACTCAGCATGCTGAAGCTGAAGTGATTTATTGGAGAGAACTACAGCTGCGCTGGAGGCCTTTTTATCCAAGCACTGGGACGTAATCCTTGAAAAATTAAGTGCTTCACACCAACAGTACTGTTGCAGGCTGGAGACCAGGTGATGGGATCAGTATCTTTGCAACCTCTGTTTAAGGCAGAGCGGAGGGATGCTGATGGCAAGAAACTTGCTCCATTACCTATTTGACTATTGTCTGAAACATTTAACTCCAGGAAAACAGCCGCTAACAAAGAGAAGGCCTTACCTATTTAACATTTTTAATAACTCAATAATAATTTAGTATTTTTAATAATTTAAATGTTCCTTATTGAGGTCTTCAAATGTACAATGGGAATCTCTACCACTTAAGGATTTGCATCGTCTACACAGATAACTAAGTCGCTCATTATGGCTTTTTGTTATTCTCAACATTTGTATGAGTGAGTTTTTCTACCAGTTGGGGGAAGAAGCTTCATTCAAGAAAGGCTTAGGTATCAGCCATTACAGCTAGAGGTACACTCATACCTTAAAATAGCAAGCTTTCCAAAGACTTTTTTCCAAACAGGACTGGTACGTCCTGGAGCCTCCCAAAACGCTGTACTGCAGCAGGATTACGGAGATTTCCTGCCGCTGGCCATTGCTGCTTTGGAGGACGTGGCACGTGCAAGCAGAAGATGGATGGATTATCTCAGCAGCAGCAAGGGATACAGGTTCACGTGAATAACTCTGTACAGCTCTGTCAGAGGCTAACAGATTTTTAACACATCAGTATTTTAAACTCATAAATATGATTATGAATAAATGTCTTTTACTGTCAACACAGTTGACTTACTTAAATAAACCACATAAGGGTTGGTTTTTTTTCTTTCAACAAGAAGTGTCAAAGAGAAGGAAGTCACAGCACAGCAACTCTACTTCTATAAAAATATTAATTTATTATCTGGAACTGGGGAAGGCTGTTGTGCTAAGGAGTCAACATACTATTTGGAGCAGATTCAGAAGTTGTGGCCTGAATTGTTACTTACTATAAACTGACCTGGCATTGCTGCACAACTGATTCTCTACAACTGCTCAATCAGGCACTGAAAGTCTTTTAAAAGCTGACTAACAAAACAAGTGTATAAAGTGAAAATATGCGGCCGCCCATAAGAAGTAAGCAAACCATCAAAAAAACCAGAATAGTTAATGTCTTTAACATAAAATCTTTTTTTTTTCCCCAAAAGCAGCAGCACTGTTTTACAAGTGTATTATAGTTAAATTAAAGGAACACCATCGTGATTGAGGACATCTTCGTGTATGAAGTACAATCTTCCAAATAATTCATAGTCCATTTTCTGTACATTTCAGCTTATCAAAATACACTGGAAACAAGTAATGTTTTTTTTTGCAGGTGTCACTACCACCATTTCTCAAAGAAAACACAGTTTCTAGGAACACCAATGTTGGATAGTAGCTTGGATATAGATTCTATCATTGGAGGTGGACCGCAGATGTACCATAAAGTATCATTAGATACATGTTTTTCTAGATCCTTTTCAGATATTCTTCCCTCTGACAAAGAAAAAAGTAAGAAATGAGAACAGAAATATTAATCATGAAGTAACTTAGAAAACAATGACTGGTTAGAGGTATTTCAAGCACTCATTTCTTAAAAATGCCCGGCCTGTTTAAGGATAATAGGTATCAAGATTTGAGGCTTCCAAAACCGTTCGTTGTTCTGGGGATTTAGATCGGTACTTCCAGTTGGAATGCATGGGATATTAGTCACTGAAGAGGAACATGGCTTACAACTAAAAATCCCATATTCAGATGAAAAAAATAGGTAAGTATCTGTAACACAAATACAACAGAAATGGAAACATGATGAAGTATCTCTTACAAGCAGTCGGCTTATCCTTCATCAATCCCGCCTTAAGCAAAGTAAATACTTAATAGTTTCTGGAATAAAGTTTGCAGTGGGAAATACCAGTATAAAGTTTAGAATTAAAAGAGGAGGTTTACTAGAAATGAAAACAAAAACTGCAAAGGGAAAATTTTTCTCCAAAGCATAGTATGTACAGTGAAATTATTTAGGTTTAACTCACATCTCATTTTAAATCTTTAGATGTAAAATACTAAATTATGCATGTAACTTCATCCTCTAGGATGTAATCAAACTTTATAAGTCATCTCTCTGCATTACCATTGTATTTACCTGTAACATGTGGCTGAAGTTCTTTACAGATCTGTGAACTCTGTTGGGTAACGTGGAAACGACATGTGATCTTTCCAGGAAATGCATTCATCAAACCAAGAATATTTTTCTGTAATGTTAAACACACTTGCTTATACCAAGGCCATTAAATCAAAGCAGATGTATGCATACAGTCCCAGAACACCAGTGATTATTACCGAGTACCAAGACTCCTGCATTTCAGTGCTGAGAACTCGATGGGCTTGATTTCAAGGGGCTGACCCGCACAAGTACACAGAATTTCCATACCTGAAATGTGAATACACTACCAGCTATGTTGTTAGTGCTTTTCTCCTTTTTTACAGCAGGTTGCAAATTGTAAGATTTGGACCTAAGAACCAGTTACGTCCTTTCCTGGTTTCTTCCCTATATAAATTCTCATTATTTCCTCCTTCCACTTCCATATGGGTTTTCCATTTTAAAAAGCCCTGCAGTTTGTATTTACCATTTGTTAGGAACTTTTTGAGTCTCGTCTGCTTTATCTGGTAAGATTACTAGACCCTTTACTATCTCGTGTTCTCCGAGTAAAACCAACTACAGTGTAATGCTAATGCTATTTTTACCAGAGTAGAAACTTCGTAACTTTCAGTTCCCTAAGTCACAACTGTGATAGTTATCACCAAAACCCAATGGCTTCAGTTCAAATCATAGTAAAAAAATCTGTCAGATGCTGTAGTTAGTTCTGAAATTAAGATTTATTTACTGTCTAGATTCTGCACTACTTGGGATTTTCACTGCTGGAACGGACACGGGAAATTCTTTCTTAAAATATTCTGAAATAAAAATAATTTCTACTCTGTGAATAGGTAAATTAGCTCCTGTTGTTATGTGTTTGCTTACTAACTAGTTACCACACTGGACAGTCTGCCATAGGTGGCTTAACAAAAAAACACCCAGATAGATTCTACTCAATAGACAAATCTGTTTCTGATTCCCTAAAAAGACATCGAATAAAGAGCAGCACAGCTAGACACTGCTGTACACTGTTCCACTAGTACATCTAATATTGGCCTGCTTTCACTGTTCTGGGTGTGACTCTACACTGTCCCCGTCATATGGAACCACGTACAATTTGATAGCACATTCGAAACTAGTCATGTCCTGTTGAGTTGAAGTCCTGGGACCAAGTCAGAAAGCATGCCTAACGTAGGACTTAACCTGCTTAAATAATCCTGCAGTCATTCACAACACCTACTTGTAACCTATCACTGCAATTCAGTGACACGGACAGAAAGTGGCAAGCGTCATACATGTGACATGAACCACCACAGTACTATTTTCTAGTATCCTAGGGCAAGAGACAAGCTCTCTTTAACTGAATGAAGGAGATTTGAACAGCTCAGCAGGTTCTTTGCAGCCTAGTATAAGTTAGCGTACAAAATGAAGCAGACAGCTACGCAATATAGACCTAAGGGAAAAGACCTATCCCCAGTGTCCCAGCCACAATAAAGAAATGAGGGTCACATTCAGTCCTCATGAAATCAGGAAAACCCAGCTAACTGACATCTTGAAGTAGCAAAGTTGGTATGCTATCTTTTGTAATTCTAACACCACCATTTTAAATAACAAGATTTTCAAAAGCCATGCATCTGCCTGTGAAATGAGAGCACATTCAAAATATAATAGACCAATTACATTAGGCTGACAGGGACGAAAGGCGATGCTATACATAGCTGCTTCTTCAGGGAACAGGTCCTCCAAAACATTAGTGACAACCAAGCAGTTCCTCATGAAGATTTGTACAGATGTATCTCACAACAACATAAAGACTCTAGTGATCCTACTTCCTCAATTCTCTGCACGGAAGTAAAGAATTCTCATATACATGTTCTGGATTTGGGGGACGTGAAGAATGAAGGAAAAGATATATTTAAGCACTGCAACGTATCATTGTGTTCTCTCCTGTCCCAGAAGCTCTGATGCAAAAACTCTGCTGTCTTAACACTGCTGAAGTGAAACTCAGGAAATGCTAGCTCCTGCACTGGAAAAAAAATGTGCATGCTTAGAACAGACTGGGAGAACAGCAGTTGGCCAAATGGAAGAGTAGCTAGGTTCCAGGTTATTATTCTGCCTCTAGCAACAAACAAATCACTTTTCAAAGAAAGCAAACATATGGTAGAAGTACAGAAGAAAAACTAGTGATGGATCCCAACGCAATTTCTGGAATCATGATAAATTTTCACCTTTATCTTACAATCAAAAGCTTTCAATACCTCAAAGAAACCTGTATCATTAGGGATGCTTCTTTACAGAAGCTGTGCTAATTTGACCCTAAAATGTTATCAGTGACCCTTAATGCCAGAGCGTGATCTTTATCTGCTAAGTAAATGTTGATGAAGTACTACTACAAGCATTTTTACAAGAAGTGCTTATAAATCCTTCATTCATAGACTAGTACCCAGTAATAACTAATGCATTATCAATAAAGCTCCCCTATTATTTTAGAAATATAATATATAATATATATTGGATATAATTGCTCTTGCAAGTCTTTAAATTCAATACAATCTGTACTGAGATGATGTGGTTACAGTATTATAGCATATAGCATTATGCATACTAGTAGTGTGTATATACACATATATATTACATATATACAGTCTTTAGTATACTATGATGCTTTTATGAGATTATAGTAAAATATAGACATTTAGGGTTAATTGACTTATCAGTGAAGTCGATGAGGCTAATAACATCCAATGTCCAATAACATCCTTAATTTGTACACTGGCATAATTAACAAAACACACATGGGATTTGAGGCAGGAAGTAACTTTTGTCTCTGTTTGTACAGTGTCTTATGCAGAGGGGCTCTCTGGAATTTGGCAAGGGAATGATACACACACAAATAGCTGAATATCTGTGATCTTTTCTTTAAGCTTTTTATTTACCTTAAATAAGAGTTCGCTTGTATTTTTTGCACTGTAGTACAGCTTCACTGTTCCCATTTTGTATCCATTTCCTTTACCCTCTTGGTATCCATGAAGATCTGCTATATGCAGCAGTATAGAAAACAATGGGTTAATTCCAACACCCCCTGCTATCAGCACTAGTTTTACAGGGGAGTCACCAGGCTGAGGATCAAAGAAGAAATCACCTCCCACTCGCAGAGCCACTTCTGAGTCAAGAGTACACTAGGATGGAAAAGAAGATACTTAATTTCAAAACTAAAAGCAAAAAGTTGAAATATTATTCTTCTTGCACCACAGTCACAAGACTTGCTGGGCTGTGATTTTTTATTTTTATTGACTAGTGAGGGAAAACTGAAGTAGTACTTTAAAATAAACGCAGTTTCCAGCTATCTGAAAGTAATCTGTTTCAGTGTCTCTAGGGATCTAGTTCTACTTTCAGAAGTTTCAGTCTTCTGATAAGGCAGGATGGTGACTCCCCTTCCCACCCACGTAAGAGTTGAAAGAGGACTGATTCATGCAAGAGTTTTTCAATGGCTGTATGTGGCTGTGAAAACCCGAGGTCAACATGTGAGATCACACTTTTACCCAAACCCAGTCATGTCAAAAAAGGCCTTGCTATGAGGTCACAGAAGGAAGCCAGAATGAGTTGCATAGACGCAGAAGGTTTTTCCATCCCCATTCCTAAACAATAAAAAACACCCAGAAGTGAAGCAAGTATCCACAAGAATATTTCTTGCAGAACCACTTCTGCATTTGCAACTTCAGAGTTGCAGAAGAAGAAAAATCAGGGGAAAACCTTCTCTCTTCCTCTCCACTTGTACATAAGAAATTATTTCTTACAGAAATTGGCCAAAGCATGTTTTTTTGATACATGGAAAACTAAAGCTACAACAAATAAAACATTTGGGTTAGTATCTTCTTGGTAAACTGCATCCTGATATGAAGGGTGAAACTGCAGTACAGAGAAGTCAGGCGAGTTCTCCCACACCACCGTAAGCTAACAGAACAAATAGGAGCAGAAAACAGAACTCATTTCAGACCATATGTAGGGTTTAAAAAATAAAATAAAGAGGATAAGGAAGCCAAGGAAGGTGGGAAAGAAGGAGAGAGGGAAAAAAAAAAAAGCTGCAAGAACTGCTGAAAAATTAGCAGTTAATCATTTACAGAATAAAAACATTTCCTCCAAAAAATCCTTTTGATATCAGGAAACAGTAATTGCAACAAAAGGATTTCCATTAATGACACCTGTATAGTAAGCAAAGGTCTAAACACATAACAATTCCACCAGGAGGAGGAAGAAGGAGGCCCTTTGACGCAGGTATGGCACAGAACACAGAGGTTCCTACAGTAGTGAGCATGACCATTAAAAAAAAATGTTTTTTGCCTTTCTTTATTATTGCATAAAGTATTATCTCTCAATTATAGTGTAAAACAATCAGCATTTATTATCTGAAACTAATTTCTCTCTCCCTTTTCAATGCACACTGCCAGGCTTTCCCACCATGTTTTAGAGATGCATGAATCCCCAAGTTTTCCAGATTCATGTGGCAAAAGGAGGACATAGAATACAGTATCCTTTGTGGAAATAAGCATTTTTAGGGGGAAACGATCTCATTGTTGTCTAATCTGCCTCCTTAACCATCTATAGCTCATCAAGATGGGACATAGGACACAAGAAGAATCGCTCTTAACCAGCAGTCTCCCACGTATTTTAGTGTGTTAGCCATGGCAATGATAACAGGAAGTTAGTTTTCAAAAAACCCAATAAATTCTGGCATAATACAGTGAGAAAGTGCTGTCCTTTAGCCTAGTTTGTAAATACAGCATTGAAACAGCTTAGAGAACTGAAGCAATCAATATATTACATGTACATTTTTCTAAATAAAAGGCTGTATCTCCCTAAGCTCTAAAGTACACTCTGCTGAATTTTATGATTTTATATACAGTAACATTAAAGAATAAATATAAATACCTCTGAAAAAAACAGTGAGTAAATGAGTACTAACTATTCCCATAACATCTTTTACCCTAAGATATCAACTCCATAATTAAGTACCAGAGTTTTTTCACCATATATATAAGCTTTTCAAATTCTAGGTTGCTATTTTTTTCTTCTTCTTTTCTAAGGAAAAGCATGCACTTTTGTTTAGCTACAAGAATCCATATAAACCCTGGAGGTTTCTCCACAGCATCAGGTTTGACCTTGCCGACCTGTTAAGTAAAGATTTTCCTATAATTCAACCAGAAAACTCAGCAACAGCAAACTGATTTACAACATCAAAAACCCTAAAAGAGCCTCCGGAGGCTGGGAATTATGAAGTTAGGCCTTCATATTCTCTAATGAGCAATACCAAAAACCAGGCAATCCTCTTAGGTATTATGTGGTCTGCTGGCACATGCACTACAAGTTCTACACAACATTTCAAAAAGGTTATTTTGTTTATGTTCCAGTGGAGATAACTTGCTATATTGCCAATTAAAATCCGTGGATGCTAACTACTAGATTAGCACCACTTCGATGCAAATTTACTAGAATTGAGAATATCCAATCTTTATCGTAACTCTGCTGGCCGCTGAACAAAACTGCAATATATGTAAACCTGAAAGAATCTGTCAATTTAAACCTTGCAGCCACATTTAAGAAATACGAATGACAGGCAGAGAACAGTAAATAGGACAGATCACAGGGGGTTGTGAAAAGAAGTTGATAGGACAGTCATCTATGAAACATGACCAGCAGCAGAAATAGGACTCTTCTGACTATAACTAAATGGGGTAGACGGATGAACAAAACACTGCAACAGGCCAAAGTGTCAGACTTTACTTTTAATACAGCAAAAATCAAGGGTTATGTCAATATTACAAAAATACTGCATATGTAAAAGAATACTGTAGAAATTCTGACGTATTCTCTTGTTTTATCATTTCAGAAAAACTGATCTAAATATCTCCCTTTGCTCCCCCTTCATAATCTATATTTATATTTATCTGACAACGATTCCCAGTTCGTATTTGTAGAAACCGCCAGGAATGATGGCAAGTTACCAGATGTAACTTTGTAATGTGTAACACAGCCTGTTCTCAGGGACACAAGTTAGAACAGAGGTTTTTCAACATTTTTCAGTTGATGAATTCCAAAGGAGTGAGAACCCTTATACACACTAACTACAATATCACTGTCAGTCCACCAAGCACAAGTGGAGTCAAAAGATCACAATAACCGTGTTACCACATAAGCATCTAATTTCAGTCCCTTACTGAACAAAAGGTTTTAAGATTTATGTTGTATTAAAAATGGTTGAAGAAGTCAACAGGAGTTTTGCAGTCAATAGCAAAAAAGTGGTCTGGAATCACATACACCACCCCCTCCACCCCTCAAAAAAAGAAATAAAATTTTAAAAAATCCAAATCTCACAATCAACAGTTAATCTCATTTACCTCAGTGTGAATCCAGTGAGCAGGAGGATGAACAGTGTGCTTTACCGCCAGCTCTAATATTCCTTCTTGTTCCAACAGGCCAGGGCTTGAACATATTGAGAATCCCCCAACTACAGATACTCCAGGAATAAAGAAATCAACCCTAAAAACAGACCAGTAACAAAGTTTAAAAAAAAGCCAACAACCCCAAACATGGAAAACAATAGCCAAAACAAAATGGCTGCCTTTGTTTCAATTATCCTTCCTTTACAAAGACATCTTCATTTCCATAACACAACTTTTCCAAAAAAGGACTTAATCTTGAGTAACACCATTTCCTTAGAATTTTTTTCATCTAGAAATTATTTTCATCTAGAAACTTGTCATCACCTTTGTTAAACTAGCAGGTTTTTAAACCATTCTGCTTTTAGCGTTAGATGCCACATCTTACAACAACAGAATAGAATTCTAAGTGTTTAAATAAATTATTTGCATATTAAAACAAAAATACAATATGTTCTGACAGAGTGGCTTAAATCTCACTCTTTTTGGTTTCTTTGATGGGCTCTTCAATTTTCAAACATAAGAAGATTGGAAAACTAATTTTAGGGAAATTACTTTTGATTAAACACTTTCTTTTCTTGGGAAGATGAACCATCTGAACTAAAACCACAGTCTGTAAAAAATTTCTTATGTGAAAAACCAGTTACTAGAAGCAGAATTGCTTTACCTATTGAACTGCAGTGCCCTCTGGTGGCAGATACCTTTTTCTAGTTGATAAGAAATTGAACTGGAATAAATGACTACAATGTTTTTTTAAAGTTAAAAGTAAACTACACATGAGTTTCTACAGATTAGAACGTTAACATATGGCTAAGCTTTTGCAACACCAGCAATTAGAGAGTATAGAAGGCGAGCTATTACTACACATGAGCTATAATTCATTTTCATAAAAGTAAGCCTTTGATACTCCAAATAATGAGAAAAAGTTAGAAGTTGGTTTATCATCTAACATTTAAACTCCTCTGTGTTGCATAAATCTTTAAATATTTCAATTTTCTACAGCACATAACAAAATCCCTGTATTTCGAAAGAATACTAATGTTTAAAACTAATTGTCCTGCTCCATTTAGGAAACAACCACACTGGCAAGCAACGCCAAGTACTAGAGAATCATTATTCAATTCAAGCCTGAGTTAGGCTGGCTCAGTATTAGTTAAACGAGAATGCAACAAGAAATACAGACTAGCTTCCACTGCACAGGTATTTTCTTTAAACAGCAAGGCTGTATTCTTCATGGGGATCACAAATTCTTGAGGGAGGAGAGAAGCACTTCAAACAGTTCACTATTTTTTAAAGAAAAAATCTTCCCTGCTTACTCCCCACAAAGCTTCACCCTTTGAAGAAAACTATCCTCTCTTTCTCTTGAAGAATGCACGAAGTGTGATATATACAACAGTATAGTGATACAATTTTTAACTTTATGCTAATAAACTTGATGGTGTATAAAGGTATCTGACTGCAAATGAAAGGTCAACAACCAAAAAAGTTGAGAAGGCTTATTTTGCTGTCTTCAGCTTCTGCAGCCCCACTGATCACGGGGCTCAGCTTTTCTGGCAATAAGGATCTAAGAGATTAGAAAGGACGACTCTTGTATTGCAGCATTTATTGTATCAAAGAACACCTCAAGATGCTACTAAAGCTCTTTACCACCCTCTGGTGGAAAATAATCTTACTACTTACATTAAAAAAAAGAAAAAAATTACATTTATGCTGTAAAGTAACAATTTACATTCAAGTCAAAATGTTCTGCTTGGCATATATAAGGGAAGCATTATTCATGCCTGGTGGGGACACATACATACAAAACCAAATATTGCTGTAAAACCTAAATCAAATGTAGTTCTTACCCTTCTAAAGTACTAATGTAGACGTACATTTCTTTCTATATTAGTATTTCTTTCCCAATTACATAATGAAGGAGATTTCAGTGCACAGTATACTATACTATAGTGGACTAGCTTGTATTTCTGATGGCTTGTCTCACCTTAGTTGTGTGTAGCAAGTATAAGAGGACTCCTGAAGAAAGGCTATCTGTGACAGTTTAAGCAA